AGATGTGTATAAGAGAAAAGAAATCGAGTATGGGACGCCAATTAAATTAGGTATGGCGCGCACTAAGTGTAATAAAGAGTGAGTAACCTAAAATTAGGGCCTGGAACCCAGGCTACGTATACCGCGTAGTGTGTGAATCATTTACTCAAATATATTAGATTTTATTGTTAATATGTCTGTCACCCTGCCAGCTTTTTTATGTTCTAAAACTGTTTAAGATGGAACTGCGCTCACAGTATGTGTGAGACAATGATAATAAATCATAGTCTAAGTACCGGTACGGTATAATTTTGGAAAGATACCGTATACTATAGAATAGACCTATTATTGATCTGATGTAGCAGTAATTTGCCAAATTAAACCTAATTGAAAGTTTAATAATTATAATATGCTTTCCTCTTCCACTTATTTTCCTTCGTCAATATTAAAACTTCTGCTCCAAAATTGACCACTTTTTTATATTGATTGTTATTTCTAATTGTAAATTTTGTGAATAGTGAGCCTACAATTCTTTTTTATTCTCTCTTTTTTCCTCCTTAAATTACCTGTTTCCAGTTAATTAGATAAATAAATAAAAATTATCATTGGCATAGGCCCATATAGGTTTAATTGTACACACGTTGCCAGGGGAGAATTCAAGGGTGGGGGAGCCGGTCCGGGCCCCCTAAATTGTTCAAAATTTAAAATGATACTTTTAAAAAAATTCCACTCAATTTTGAGTAAAAAGTGCCATTTTCGGCCATTTAGAGGTGCCATAATTATACTTTTTTTTTTACCTCACCCCAACCGTGGTGGGGCTGAGGTGGTAGTATAGACCCTCCATCTGTTAAAGTTTCTCACTGGGCCTCCTCTAAATTGTGGATCCGCCACTGATAGCTGACATGGCTATGCTCGCTCGTATTTTACTTAAAATATTATTGTTTAGTTACCTAAGTTGTTTATTTCACTAATTTATATTTTTCATTCTGTATTATCAGTTTGTACTATAATATTTGTAATTGTTTAATACTAAATTAGTATACATCTCTCAATCTGCCTTTCTTTTTAAAGTAAGGAAAGTATGGATTTATTTAATAACGTAATATTATATTTTCATGTCATCATTATCATATTATTATTATTAATGTTTCTTTGCTTTGAGATTGCATTATCCTTTATTATTTAATATAAAGTTTGTACATATCTATGTTTACAAAAAAAAATCCTAAAACAGGTCTGAGAGCCAGAGTGTTTTGACACTAGATAATCCTAACCAACTTAGGTTATTTATTGTTGTATACGTTTGCAATTTCCCGACTAATACCTGAATCACCTTTCCTATCCTCGGAAATAAAAGGACACCTTTAGCAGGAAAAAAAAACCACTAAACACAAGCTTGATTGTTTGAATTTTAGGACCACAAAGGTCATTTCAATTCCTGATACAATGCACATTACAAAATGTTCACACGGTGATCAAGGGCATGAGTTCCGTTAATCAGATAGTACAGTATTAGGCCTAACCGCCTACCAAGAGCTATTATTGGAATAGCTAAATGGTATTACCCTATTCAGACTATTTTTTTGAAACAAGTTTTTTCCGGGGATGGCGGTCAAAAAGTGATATTAGATACAAAATAATTAAAATATGTAATTTATTACCTGACTGTAAAAACATTTTTATTTAATGTATTTTTTTAATTTGTCTTGTCTGGATTTTATCTATTTTATGGAATTCTATTGTACATTTTCTTCGATTTTTTTTCTCATCAGCTGGTTATAATTTCTTCTATGTCGCATCACACGAGATTGGCCACAGTTTGGGGCTAGGGCATTCACAGATAGAGGGCGCTCTAATGCACGACGCGTATCCCAGCAATCCATACAATGTGAAGCTAACGGATGATGATGTTGACGGTATCCAGGCACTTTACGGAGTACCAGACAACCAAACGAATGAGGTACTAGAGCTTTAAAACGTATTATGATGTCATTTATTTTATCATTGACGATTTCTCGGCTGTCTACCGGAAAACATTGTACGAATTACTGACATCGTCGTCAGATTTCGGATCATCGCTATGATTTCTGCATAGCAGTAACCGAATTACGCTCGAACATCATCGTTTGTACATTTCCAATTGCTTCCAACCGTTTCTCTTGTAAACAATTGTTATCGAGGAAGAAGGTACGGCTCTTTGGAAGATGAAGTCGTTGAAGACGTTACTGAAAAAATGGTTATAATAGGCCTATATTTATTATTTATTAGAAGCATACTATTTCTACATGATGATTAGAATAAAACAGTTCAAATGCTGTTTTCCACATGAATACAGTAAGATGGTAGAAGAAAAAAAACAATAATAATTATTTTCAAAAACAGCACAACGGATCATATCTTTATCATAGGCGAAGCCTATAATGAAGACTGAATCTTTATTTATATTATGTTTTGTAGTATTTTTATGGTTCATTCCACAACTTTTTAGCATGCAAAACATTTAATTTTTTATTCCCCTATACTATTGATTGCCTGCGTGCAATACGATAACTGACGATGGTAGTAGCACTGCCGAAACATGTGTCTTGGGGCTGTTAAGGCCCTAACATACTGAATTAAATATAGGCTTCGCCTATGATGAAGATACGATCTGTTGTTGATGTTTTTTAAAACTTTAGCTGTCTGCTGTTAAGTCGTTCCTTTGATAATAATAATTATTACTATTATATTTATTATTGTTGTTATTGTTATTGTTATTGTTGTTATTGTTATTGTATAATTAATATAATAATAATTATTATTATTAATATACTATTGATGTTCCATATAATTATATATTAATTATAAGGAAGAGAAAAAAAGTTGCAGCAAAAATAATTAAATTAAAGAACAAATAATTTTCAATTTTAATTTTTTAAACTCTGGATCCAAGATTGTATAAATTGTATTTAAGATTAATCCATTTGAGTTCATTATTAGTGTCTCGTATAGCGAACAATGCTGATAAGGTTTGGGTAATTTTTTTCAAGACTTTTCTAAGATGGTTGCGATGACATCGTTTATTTGTTGTGTTTTTTGTAGCTTGTTATTGGAACAATTATATTATTATTATTATGTCAAGATTTATTAATAATATTTTATTGTTAGTTGCTATTGTTGTAAATGTTGATATTTATCTTTAATATTATTCGTTTAGCAAAATCTATCGCTTTAATATAATGTCAGAATAATGTCAATTGTTGAAATAGTCCTAACCTCATCTTATGAATCTTATGAAATATCTCAGCCAATTGTGATTTCATTGTACATAAATTGTTGTTAATTTATACAAGTTATAGTCTTGTTGTTGCTTATTAAACTATTCACCAGAATTGTATAGTATTAACACAATAAATCGACAAAATGATAAAAGTATCTTTGTCAACATATGAATAGAACATTGTTTTGAAAATGTTATGTTGTTCCAGATCAGGGCATTAACAAATTATGTTTTTTGTTATTATTGTTATTATTGTTATTATTATTATTATTATTATTTATTATTATTATTATTATTATTATTATAATTATTATTATTATTATTATTATTATTATTATCATTATTATTATTGTTATTATTGTTATTATTATTATCATTATTATTATTATTATTACTACTATATAATAATAATAATCATCATCATCTTCATCATCGTCGTCGACATCGTCCTCATTATTGTTATTATTATTAATATTATTATTATTATTATTATTGTCATTGCTGTTGTGTAGCATATTGTATTGCTGAAGAATTTATGAAACATGATTTTGAATTATATGTCTATTTCTGAAATAGTAATTCCATAGTTTTAACTGTATCTTATGTAATCTCAGCCAACTGTGATTTCATTGTTACTGTACATACAATATTTGTTAATTTATAAAAGTTGATATTCATGAAATGAAAAGAACGTTCTCGGTAGTGTTTATAAGACTATTCAGTAGAGCAATTTAGTGAAAAATTAATCAGTTTCATGCTATTGTCTTGACGGCCAGAAGACTTTCCCTTTCAGTTTTTACAATGAATTGAATGAATTTTTTTTTTGGCATTAAGTGTATTATATTCGTCTTCAGAAGACAAGAGCAAGGTTGTCTTATAATGATAAATTGTTCTATGTTTTGTGCTAGTATTGTCAAAATGTATTGTGGAACAATAATAGTAAAATTGGGCAAAACAATACAATGTATCGCTATCTTCCTCATTCTCCTTAACATTTCAAGATTATATTATTGGTATCAATGCTTAATGATAAGCGAGCTTAGCTCAGTGGACTAAACTAATGTGTGTGTGGAGTGGGGTTGGATAGCTCGGTGGTTAAGATGCTTGTGTTCCAATCCCTGGCTCTTGTTAGCGTTGCAGGATTTTTTTTTTTCTCACGTCCAAAACAACTACACTCACTAAACGTTGTGTAATCATCGTGTGTGTATGTTTGTGTTCTGAAAGGGATCAGCCTACAAGCTGTCTCTTATACACATCTAATATGTAATTATATATATATATATATATATATATATATATAGCATTTCACTATATAAGTACTCAAATATATTCATAAATTAAAATATCAATACGATATTAGGTTATCATTAGGTCTATTAAATTACAAAAAGTAACAAAATATATTGATATTTTTTTTAAACATGAAAAATAAAATGGAAAAACAATTGTAGAAAAATTTACTTATTGAATATTAAATTTTAAAAGAATAATTTCATAGATAAAAAGTTATGCCTAAATATCAAGCATCAATATTAAAACTACCATTATTATAATTATAGTTCTTATTATTTATAAATAATTAAAAATGAAAATTACAAATAAACATTAAGTAGACAGGGAAATATGATGAACGAACAGGTTGAATTACAAAATTTTGAATGGTCATTAGGCTAAGATACAGGAGACCAATACATTTTTCAATATAATTACATTGCCTATCAGCTTGGTATACCAGGTATGGAATTGTAGTGTTTTTGTAAGGTTGTCTTCTGCAGTTTAGCATTTGTAGTTTGTTAGAGTTGCGCAGTTTTCTTTCATGCATTTTGCTACTATATTCAGGTGTCTATATCGTTCAGATGTCAATTTTGTTACTCTCTTGTCCTCCCGTTTAGGGACACCAATAGCACCACAGGCAACAGTGTATGTGTTACCACTAATAATTCTTACTGCTCGTTTTTTTTTTTTTTTTTTTTTTTTTTTTTTGGGGGGGGGGTTTTTTTTTTATTTTTTTTGTATATCCCAGTTGCCCAGACAGATGTTGAGATAATGTAGAGTGACATACTGGGCAGCAGCAGTAGGCCTTACGCCAACTGGTTTGACATAAATCTAGTAGGCATCAACCATATCCTTTTATCGGAGCACCAAATTTGTGCAAGATATACAGTATAATGGAAGCGGTTGGCGCTGCGGTCGCAGTGGCGGATTAAAGAGGGCCCAGCCGCCCCCCCCCCCCCCAAAAAGCCCCCCCCCCTTTTATATTTCAAAAAATTGTAAAAAAAATTGAGGAAAAAAAGTTTCAAACTTTACTTGTATATATAGAGAATGTTAATTCATTGATACGTTCGTCAAATCTCCCAAGTACAATCTTTTTTACATGTAACATTGCACTTTGTTGTTCCAACACACAATCGATTGAATTAATTTGTAGGCTGGTTTCCAACTGTTGATTTATTGTACCTTAAATTTGTCATTTGTAAATGACGAATATAATTTCTTAACTCTTTGGATCTTTAAAATATTAATGTCGTTTCCTTACATTCATTCTTACTATGTATTACAGGTGTTAAGTTCAAGTTTGTATATGTTTTCCAGTTTCTTGGGATTGCACGCCACATATTATATTAACGCATTGTGCGTTTTTGATAATCCAAGAATTATCTCATCAATATTTTTAAATCTGGTATCAAAAATGGTATCATTAATATTTTTAAAATAAGAATCTATCCATATTTTGTAGAGGAGAGATTACCATTTAATTTTAATATTTTTTTTCCCAAAGCATTTGCTTTTTAACCTCACAAATACATTGCGGCTATGACACATGATAAACTTTATTTTGCATATGTGCATATTTTTGTAAAATATAGACTGTCTATTTAATGAGACATGATCTTAAAAATTTACCTCATTCATACATAAAGTGTATGTTAGGAAGATACATATGAAAACATAGAATACATTTCCATATTTTTTTAAATTGTTTTTTTTTTTTTTTCCATTTAAATTAAAACAAATATATATATATACTCTTCACAGAATGGTTCTATTTCCTTATGAAATTAGCTATTTTCATCATTTGCAAAAATAATTATATCATCAGCTAATTGGGCAATGTTCACTGTATAATTGTCATCCTCATTAAAAGATGACAATCCAATACCTTTATATAGTGGATTGTTCCTTATATTTTGTAGCCATCAGTTCCACTACTGAATAAATAATAAAGCTGAGAGAGGGAATCATTATCGGATCCCTTTCCATTTTAAAACTTAGCGTTGTGATGTAGATAATTTATTATTCTCAAAACTAAAATTAAGAGCTTCACACAGAAAGTTACATATATTATCGCAATATATTCGGATTGTATGGTAAATCTATCTAGACTTTTACTTTCGTTTAACAGCGTTTTAAAAACAGCGTGTTTCAATTTACACTCATCAATTGTTAACTGGCAAGCCTTCACACTGGTGTCTATCTTTTGTTGACTTTAGAACACTCAATATATTTATTGATTTTTGAAACAGGAATTTCCTTATTATTATAAAGTTGCTTAAAAAACCACACTTATTCTTTGTTTCCTTGTGTCTTTGTTTTGCGTTTACCATTGCTTTTTAATACTGCTGTAATGTGTTTTCGTTTTGTGAAATTAAAAGTGCCTTTCACCATTAATGACATAGAGCTTTAGGTCATTGGCCTGTTTTCAAACACCTCATAATCTTTTCTAACTTACCATTTGCTCTCAGTAATTTTTTTTGTCGTTGGTGGTGTGTTGGTGGGGTGGAGTGGGTGGTATCGGGTGTGGGGTGGGTGTATATAAGTAAGAGTATCCGTTTAATGTATATTATTGCAATTTTGCGGACAATAGCCATCGATGACTTTCGAAGTGTCAATAAATTGAATTGAAATAACTCACTAAAGTCACTTTCAAGTACATGATGATGTACTTGAAACATCCATATTTGTACTTGTACATCCATATTTGGCGAGTCAACTGGCCGAGCGGTAAGGCAGGGGCGCCACTAACTACGCCTTTTGGCCCTCAAATGCATACCCGAATTTGTATAGTATAGTGCATCCCTCCTCACCGCCTGAGTATTACATCACTTTGGATTGAACATGGTAGCAGCAACATAATATGCCGTGCAGAATGTATAGAATAAAGGACCTACTGTACACAGAAACCGAAAGGATTAATCTCAGATAAGATAGTATAATACCTACTCCGTGCATTTCGATACTTGGAGCATATTATAGGCCTACTATCTATGTATAACAGTGCCATGGTGATTTGCCAATAAAAAGGAACTGTTATGCACCTAATGCTTGGATACCTCAAACAAACTAAGCTACGGTAATGCCTCCCAGGGCATTGTTACAGTACTGTGCGGCCTAGCAAAATGTGCTTAGAATCCTATCATGACTTAAGTATATATGATGATTGTGCTGAACATGTAAAGATCCTAAAGACATTATTCTAACCTAAACACGTTTAGCTTGTTTCAACTAAGTCGTGGCAACATTTTGTGGAGGTTTGTATTTGGAACCCTCCACATTGATTTTA